GCGCGCGCTGATCCCAGAGCTGTAGCTGATAACATTCGGCGCCGATCTCACTTCCCACATCCCGCTGAGCAGTGGTAGAGCCCGCTGCCACTGCTCGTCTTTCGTGCGCGCGCTGATCCCAGAGCTATAGCTGATGGCATCTGGCTCCACCTTCGCCTCCCACATCTCGCTGAGCAGCGAGAGGGCCCGCTGCCACTGCTCGCCGTTCGTCCACGCGCTGATCCCAGAGCTGTAGCTGATGACACTTGGCTCCACCTTCGCCTCCCGCATCTCGCTGAGCAGTGGGAGAGCCAGCTGCCACTGCTCGCCGTTCGTACACGCTCTGATCCCAGGGCTGATCCCAGAGTTGTAGCTGATGGCATCTGGCTCCGACCTCACTTCCCACATCTCGCAGAGCAGCGATAGAGCCCGCTGCCACTGCTCGCCTTTCGTGCACGCGCTGATCCCAGAGCTGTAGCTGATGACATTCGGCTCCGGTCTCACTTCCCACATCCCGCTGAGCAGTGATAGAGCCCGCTGCCACTGCTCGTCTTTCGCGCACGCGCTGATCCCAGAGCTATAGCTGATGGCATCTGGCTCCACCTTCGCCTCCCACATCTCGCTGGGCAGTGAGAGAGCCCGCTGCCACTGCTCGCCTCTCGCGCATGCGCTGATCCCAGAACTGTAGCTGATGACGCTTGGCTCCACCTTCGCCTCCCGCCTCTCGCTGAGCAGTGGGAGAGCCTGCTGCCACTGCTCGCCGTTCGCGCACGCGGCTGATCCCAGAGGTTTTTTTTGTTAGTTGTTTGTTTATGTAGTTCTTGTTTTGTAGTGGTTTTTTTTTGTTTGTTGATTTTTTTTGGTTTGTTGTGTTTTGTTTTTTTTCTTCTCTTTATTTTTGTTTTGTTTTGGTTTGTTTGTTGTTTGTTGGTAGCTGACGGCATCTGGCTCCAACCTCACTTCCCAAATCTCGCAGAGCAGCGATAGAGCCCGCTGCCACTGCTCGCCTTTCGTGCACGCGCTGATCCCAGAGCTGTAGCTGATAACACTTGGCTCCACCATCGCCTCCCGCATCTCGCTGAGCAGTGGGAGAGCCTGCTGCCACTGCTCGCCGTTCGTACACGCTCTGATCCCAGGGCTGATCCCAGAGTTGTAGCTGATGGCATCTGGCTCCGACCTAGCGATAGAGTCCGCTGCCACTGCTCGCCTTTCGCGCACGCGCTGATCCCAGAGCTGTAGCTGATGACATTCGGCTCTGATCTAATTTCCCACACCCCGCTGAGCAGCGATAGAGCCCGCTGCCGCTGCTCGTCTTTCGCGCACGCGCTGATCCCAGAGCTATAGCTGATGGCATCTGGCTCCACCTTCGCCTCCCCCATCTCGCTGGGCAGTGAGAGAGCCCGCTGCCACTGCTCGCCTCTCGCGCATGCGCTGATCCCAGACCTGTAGCTGATGACACTTGGCTCCACCTTCGCCTCCCACATCTCGCTGAGCAGTGGGAGAGCCTGCTGCCACTGCTCGCCGTTCGCGCACGCGCTGATCCCAGAGTTGTAGCTGATGGCATCTGGCTCCAACCTCACTTCCCAAATCTCGCAGAGCAGCGATAGAGCCGGCTGCCACTGCTCGCCCTTCGTGCACGCGCTGATCCCAGAGCTGTAGCTGATGACGCTTGGCTCCACTTTCGCCTCCCAAATCTCGCAGAGCAGCGATTGAGCCCGCTGCCACTGCTCGCCGTTCGTACACGCGCTGATCCCAGGGCTGATCCCAGAGTTGTAATTGATGGCATCTGGCTCCAACCTCACTTCCCACGTCTCGCAGAGCAGCGATAGTGCCCGCTGCCACTGCTCGCCTTTCGCGCACGCGCTGATCCCAGAGCTGTAGCTGATGACGCTTGGCTCCACCTTCGCGTCCCACATCTCGCTGAGCAGTGGGAGAGCCTGCTGCCACTGCTCGCCGTTCGCATACGCGCTGATCCCAAGGCTGTATATGATGCCATTCGGCTCCAACCTCACTTCCCGCATCCCGCTGAGCAGTGATAGAATCCCGCTGCCACTGCTCGTCTTTCGCGCAGGTGCTGATCCCAAAGCTATAGCTGATGTCACTTGGCCCCACCTTCGCCTCCCACATCTCGCTGGGCAGCGAGAGAGCCCGCTGCCACTGCTCGCCTCTCGCGCATGCGCTGATCCCAGAGCTGTAGCTGATGACGCTTGGCTCCGCCATCACCTCCCATCTTCCTCCTCCTCCTCCACGTCCTGACTCCCTAGCTCGCTGCCACTGCCCGCTGACGTCGAGCGCGATTATCTTCGCCTCCTCCTCCTCCTCCTCCTCCTCCTCCTCCTCGACCTGGTCCTGCTCGTCCGCTGCCTTCTCCTCCTCTTCTATCTCCTCCTCTGGCGCCTCGCTCTCCTCCCTGGCTCGCTGCCACTGCCGCTGCCCATTTTTCGCACGTGCGCTGGCCCCAGCGATGCAACTGATGACGTTGGGCCCCAGTTTGGGAGTCAGCAGCGCCATAGCCTGCTGCCACTGCTCCCTTGTCTCGCAGGCGCGGCTGGGTCTGGACTCCAGGCGGGGGTGGGGCGGGCGGGGGACGGAGGGCGAGGGGGCGAGGGGCACGAGCCGGGCCCGAACGACGAGGGGCGAACGACGCGGGGGCAGGGGGCGAACGAGACCGGACCGAGACGAGGGGACAGAGGCCGAGGGAAGGGCGAGGGGAAGGGGCGGTGGGCGTCGTCGGTGCGCGTCGTCGTGCAGGTGCGCGTCGTTGCTGCTGGTCGTTGCAGGTGGTGCCCGTCGTTGCTGGGGGTCGTGTTGCCGGTCGGAATTGGTGCTGGTCGCAGTCGTGGTGGTGCTGCTGTTGGTCGTGGTCGTGTTGGTGGTGCTGCTGCTGGTTGCGGTCGTGGTGGTGCTGCTGCTGGTCGCAGTCGTGGTTCTGCGAGTCGTAGTCGTGGTGGTGTTGGTGGTCGCAGTCGTGGTGGTGCTGGTTGTGCTGGTGGTGCTGGTCTTGGTGGTGGTGGTGCTGCTGCTGGTCGCAGTCGTGGTGGTGCTGCTGCTGGTCGCAGTCGTGGTGTTGCTGGTCGCAGTTTTGGTGCTGCTGGTCGCAGTCGTGGTGGTGCTGCGGGTTGCAGTCGTGGTGGTGGTGCTGGTAGTGGTTCTGCGGCTGGTCGCAGTCGTGGCGCTGCAGGTCGCAGTCGTGGGGCTGCTGGTCGCAGTCGTGTTGATGCTGCTGGTCGCGGTTGTGGTGGTGCTGCTTGTCGTGGTGGTGCTAGTCGTAGTGGTGGTGGTGCTGGTTGTGCTGGTGGTGCTGGTGCTGCTGTTGGCCGTGGTGGTGGAGCTGTTGGTGGCAGTCGTGGTCGTGCTGCTGCTGGTCGTGGTGTTGCTGGTGGCAGTCGTAGTGCTGCTGGTAGTAGTCGTGGTGGTGCTGCTGGTCGCGGTCGAGGTGGTGCTGCTGCTGGTCGTGGTGGTGCTGCTGCTGGTCGCGGTCGTGGTGGTGCTGGTTGTAGTCGTGGTGGCGCTGCTGGTCGCAGTCGTGGTATTGCTGGTTGTGCTGGTGGTGCTCGTCGTGGTGGTGCTGCTGGTCGCTGTCTCGGTGCTGCTGCTACCGGTTGCGGTCGTGGCGCTGCTGGTCGCAGTCGTGGTGCTGCTGGTCGTGGTCGTGGTGGTGCTGCGGGTCGCGGTCGTAGTGGTGGTACTGCTGGTCGTTGTCGTGGTGGTGCTGCTGCTGGTCGCAGTCGGGGCGCTGCTGGTCGCAGTCGTGGCGCTGTTGGTCACAGTCGTGGGGCTGCTGGTCGCCGTCGTGTTGGTGCTGGTGGCGCTGCTGGTCGTGGTGGTGCTGCTGGTCTCTGTGGTGCTGCTGCTGGTCGCAGTCGTGGTGGTGCTGGTCGTAGTGGCGGTGGTGCTGCTGGTCGCAGTCGTGGTAGTGGTAGTGCTGGTTGTGCTGGTGATGCTGGTCGTGGCGGTGCTGCTGGTCGCAGTCTCGGTACTGCTGCTCCCGGTTGCAGTCGTGGTGCTGCTGGTCGCTGTCGTGGTGCTGCTGGTCGTGGTCGTGGTCGTGGTGGTGCTGCGGGTCGCTGTCGTGGTGGTGGTGCTGCTGGTCGCAGTCGTGGTGGAGCTGCTGCTGGTCGCAGTCGTGGCGCTGCTGGTCGCAGTCGTGGCGCTGCTGGTCGCAGTCGTGGGGCTGCTGGTCGCCGTCGTGGTGGTGCTGGTGGTGCTGCTGGTCGTGGTGGTGGTGCTGCTGGTCGTTGTGGTGCTGCTGCTGGTTGCAGTCGTAGTGGTGCTGGTCGTAGTCGTGGTGGTGCTGCTGGTCGCAGTCGTGGTAGTGCTGCTTGTGCTGGTGGTGCTGGTCGTGTGGTGCTGCTGGTCGCTGTCTCGGTGCTGCTGCTCCCGGTTGCAGTCATGGTGTTGCTGGTCGCTGTCGTGGTGCTGCTGGTCGTGGTCGTTGTCGTGGTGGTGGTGCTGCTGGTCGCAGTCGTGGTGGTGCTGCTGCTGGTCGCAGTCGCGGCGCTGCTGGTCGCACTCGTGGCGCTGCTGGTTGCAGTCGTGGGGCTGCTGGTCGCCGTCGTGGTGGTGCTGGTGGTGCTACTGGTCGTGGTGGTGGTGCTGCTGGTCGTTGCGGTGCTGCTGCTGGTTGCAATCGTGGTGGTGCTGGTCGTCGTCGTGGTGGTGCTGCTGGTCGCAAGTCGTGGTGGTGCTGCTTGTGCTGTTGGTGCTGGTGGTGCTGCTGGTCGTGATGGTGGTGGTGCTGCCGCAAACGTGGTGCTGCTGGTCGCAATCGTGGTGCTCCTGGTCGTGGTCGTGGTGGTGCTGCTGGTCGCTCTCGTGGCGGTGGTGTTGGTGGTGGTTCTGCTGCGGGTCGCAGTCGAAGCGATGGTGCTGCTGGTCGCCGCTGGTCTCCTCGTGGTGCCCGCTGCCGTGTCGGGGGTGCTCCCGGCGCTCGTCGGAGCCTCCCGGGGCGGCCGTGCTGGCCGCGGTGCCAAGCATCAGGGGCGTGCTGGCAGGCGGCTAGCGGGTGGGCCGGCGGAGTCTGCGAGCAGCACTTCGGCCAGGTCTGGGTCGTCCTCCCCGGCGGCCCCCCCCAAGGCTAGGTGGCCGTCGCCCGTCAGGGTGGCCATGAGCGCGCCCTGGGCCGCGACGCTCAGGAACCCCCACCAGCGGTTGGTGTACGCGAGCTCCGCGGAGCGGCGGAGGAGGGCCGGCGCGGCCCGCGCTTTCTGCTTGGCAAGCAGGCGTACCAGCTGGAGGGAGTCGCGGTCCCGCCTGCCTCCGACCTCGCAGGAAGGAGGACCCTGAGGCGGCCTGAATGGCCGGTCGTGGGGGAAATTCGTTGTGTTTGTGGTCGTTTCCCTTTTTTTTTTTGTTTTTTTTTTTTTTTGTTTTTTTTTTTTTTATTTTTTTTTTATTTTTTCTTTTTTTTTTTTTTTTTTTTTTTATTTTTTTTTTTTTTTTTTTTTTTTTATTTTTTTTTTTTCTTTTTTTTTTTTTTTTTTTTATTTTTTTTTTTTGTTTATTTTGTTTATTTTTTTTTTTTTTTCTTTTGCGCCTTTCGGCTACAAGTAGCGCGGCGCCGTCGGTGTCGAAGGTGCGCGGCCGGTGCCAGCCGCCCCTGCGGAGGGGGGACACCATGGTGCTGTTGCAGCACAGCGGGACGCCTTTCGGCGAGATGCCGTACATTGTCTGTGGTCCAGCGGGTTGTGGACAACGGCGTTAGTGTCCCGTAGCAGCTGTTGGGGGACAACTCTCCCTCCTGCTTCTCTGGCGACCCTCGCCCAAGCTCGTTCGAGCGGTTTCGCGCGTCTGGCAAGAAGCCCGGTGCGTGGGCACGCGGCTAGGTGGTTTCCCAACGTGCCCAGCCGGGCCCGGCAGCCTGGGCGGCCGGCTGCCCCGCACGTGTGCGGGAGGAGCGGCAGCGGGAGCCTGAGGCGCCGGCGCAAGGCTGCCAGGAACCGCGCGGGCTTGAACACGTGCCCCTCGGTGGTGGGCTAGGTGTGAGGCCAGTAGGCGGCCCTCGGTCCTGAGCCTGACCTTAGCATGGCCTGGTTGGTCCCGGTGAGGCTGGGCATGAACACGTTGTCCCTGTAGTGTGTGTTGCGTGCGGAACAAGCGTGGGACTGCCAGCCGTGCTGCCCTTCCCCCGGTTCGGCGGCCTCCGAGCGCGGCGGCGCTTCTGGGCGCAGCCCCTGGAGCAGGTCGGTCCAGGAAGGTCTCCGGGAGCCTTCGGTTTCGAGCAGGTTGCCCCTACGGCCTGGCCTGGTGCCGTCGAGGAGGTCCCTGATCGCTACAGCTTCAATGGGGCGCCGTTGGTGGAGCATGTGTAGGGCGTCTGCCCGAGCGCCCCAGTAGGCCGCTGGGGACGTGCGCGCGGCGCTTTGGAGCCCGAGTCCTCCGTGTCGCCCAGGCTTCGCATTGCTGCCAGTGCGCGCGCCCGTCGCTTATCGTCTTGCGACATTGCGGGGTCCGCGAGGAGGCGGCGCAGGGTGGCCCACATATCGCCGTCGTGGCCTCTCGCGTATTCTGCGATTTCCTCTGGCGGCAGAGTTCGCAGCAGGTGGTTGGCCCGCGGGGAGGCGCAGAGGAGGAGGAGGAGGAGGAGGAGGAGGAGGAGGAGGAGGAGGAGGAGGAGGAGGAGGAGGAGGAGGAGGAGGAGGAGGCGGGAGGCGGAGGCGGAGGCGGAGGAGGAGGAGGAGGAGGAGGAGGAGGAGGAGGAGGAGGAGGAGGAGGAGGAAGGAGGAGGAGGGGAGGGGAGGAGGAGGAGGAGGAGGAGGAGGAGGAGGAGGAGGAGGAGGAGGAGGAGGAGTCAAGCGTACTGTAGGTCTGGCAGGTGCGCCAGTTCGTCCAGGAGTCTCCTCTCTTCCTGTAGTCTGCTCTCCAGGTGTGCGGCGAGGAATTCTGGGGTGCCTAGGGGGGCGCCTAGGATCTTGATTCCTCGGTCGGGTGGTGCTCTGTCACACCTCCAGACGCCTTGTCCCAGCTCGCCGATTCCGGGCGGCGCTGCGCCTCCGCCCCTGCTGCAAGCCCGGCACTTGCCAAGGTGGCCATTCACGTGTGCGTGGAGGTAAATTGCTCCGGCGGTGGTGTCGGAAGCGGCTCTGGCCCTGGCCCTGGTGGTCTTGATGTACACGTCGTCCAAGATAGCGACTAGGAAGTGCCCTTGCTCGAGGGTCTTGGAGGCGCCCGCCAGCGCTCCGCGCAGGGCAAGAGCGACGAGGGCTGGGGCCAGCGCGTCCCCCTGCTCCGCGCGTCGTGCACAAGTCCCCATTTTGTCTTGCCACAGGTAGGCGGAGCGTTGCCCGTGACAAATCTCCACGACGGGGGTTAAGCTGGCCAGCGCTCGGCAAGCAAGGAGCTCCTGGAAGAAGGTCGACCTCGACACAAGGTCGAAAGCCCCGACTCCATCGATGCTGACAATCACTGCGTCGTCGTCGTGGTCCAGCACTGACCTCAGCAGCATGGCGGCGCAGTCGGTTCCTGCCCGCGCCGTCAGGGCGAACTGGAAGGGCGCAGTTGCGGCCGCGAACTCCTTGGCGAACTGTTGAGCGAGCGGCCTGGTGACCAGTCGGCGGAAAACGTCGCCGGTGGCGATGCCCCGTACTCCGTTGTCTGGTTTCTGGAGTGCCGTCATCTTGCAGAGGGCTAGAGCGCGGGCAATCGGGGAGGGCACCCGCGCCTCCGCGAGGGCAACGGCGACGAATCCTTGCAGGTCCATGGACTCTTCGTGTTCCAGCAGCGGCTTGAGGTGCTCAGCGCGGACCCCCGACGGTCCTGCTGCCGTGCCCTTTTTGGCGGACCGGAGGCTAGCGAGGAATGTGGTCTTGTCGAGCCTCGCTGTCGGTTGCGCGGTCTAGGTTGGCGGGTAGTCGGCGGCTAAGGGTAGGCGGTCGGCAAGCCGCACCAGCTCTCCTCCGTCGCTCGGCGGAGCTCGCGTGGACCAACCGCTGGTGGTGGCTCTTGAGCGTCGCGGCCCAAGACGCGCTCATGGCCACCCTACGGGCGAAGGCTCCCCGGCACGGGAGCTACCGAGGAGGGCGAACCAGACCTGGCCGAAGTTCTGCTCGCCGACACCGCCGGCCCACATGCTAGCCGGCTGCCAGCACGCCCCTGATACTCGGCACCCAGGCCAGCGTGGCCGCATGGGGGCGCGTCGACGAGCACAGGGACCACCCCCAAGACGAGCGCCACAGGCGCTACGAGCAGCACCACCGAGAGCACCACGACGGCGACTGCGAACACCACACGCAGGGCTACCGCCACAACAAAACCACAACCACGACCACGACCAGCAGCGCCACCACCACCACGAAGGCGACAAAGACCACCAGAGAAGCCACAACCACGACCGCGACGAGCAGCTTCACCACGACCGCAACAAGCAGCACCACGACTGCGACCAGCAGCGCCGCGACTGCGAACAGCAGCACCACCACGACCGCGACCGGCAGCCGCACCACGGCCGCGACCAACAACGGCACCACCACGGCGACCCGAAGGGCCACGACTACGACAAGCGCAACCACGACCACAACCACGAGCACGACCAACAGCTCCACCACCGCGACTGCGACCAGCAGCACCACGACGGCGACCAACAGCAACCCGGCGACTGCGACCTGCGTCGCAGCCAGCGGCACCACCACGACGACTGCAACCAGCAACGCCACCACCACCACTGCAACCAGCAACGCCACCACGACAGCGACCAACCGCACCACCACACCACAGCGCCACGACTGCGACCAGCAGGACCGCCACCACCAGCAAGGCCGCGAAGACGACCAGCAGGAGGGCGAGAATGAGGAAGAGGAGGCGGAGGCGGCGGGCGAGGAGGACGAAGAAGAGGGGAGAGGGCGAGGAAGAAGAGGAAGAGGAGACAGACGAGGCGGCGGAGGAGGCGGCCGAGGAGGATGGCGGCACCGCTACCAACAGGAGCGCCGACAACACGACTACGACCAACAGCACCACGACGATCGCGACCAGCACTTGCGCCACGAATGCGACCAGCAGCACCACCACCACGACTGCGACCAGCAGCGCCACGACTACAACAAGCAGAACCACAGCCACGAGCACGACCAACAGCTCCACCACCGCGACTGCGACCAGCAGCCACGCGACGGCGACCAACAGCAATCTGGTGAATACGACCTGTACCGCCACCAGCAGCAACGCCACGACGACAACAACCAGCAGCACCACCACCCCGGCTGCCACCACCGCCAGCAGCACCACGACCACGACCGACCGCACCACTACGCCCCAGCGCCACGACGGAGACCAGCAGGTCCACCACCACCAGCAGCACCGCGACGGCAACCAGCGGGAGGACGCGGAGGAGGAGGAGGAGGAGGAGGAGGAGGAGGAGGAGGAGGCGGAGGCGGAGGCGGAGGCGGAGGCGGAGGCGGAGGCGGAGCAGGCGGCGAGCGAAGAGGACGAAGAGAGGGGAGAAGGCGAGAAAGGAGAGAAAGAGGAGACAGACGAGGCGGCGAAGGAGGCTGGCGAAGAGGACGGCGGCACCGCTAACAACAGCAGCATAGACAACACGACTACGACCAGCAGCACGACGACGACGCGACCAGCATTGCGCCACGACTGCGACCAGCAGCAGCACCACCACCACAGCGACCAGAAGCGCCACGACTACAACAAGTAGAACCACAGCCACGAGCACGACCAACAGCTCCACCACCGCGACTGCGACCAGCAGCAACGCGACGGCGACCAACAGCAATCTGGCGAATACGACCTGTACCGCCACCAGCAGCAACGCCACGACGACAACAACCAGCAGCACCACCACCCCGCTGCCACCACCGCCAGCAGCTACGCGACCACCGCACCACTACGCCAGCGACGGAGACCAGCAGGTCCACCACCACCAGCAGCACCGCGACGGCAACCAGCGGGAGGACGCGGAGGAGGAGGAGGAGGAGGAGGAGGAGGAGGAGGAGGCGGAGGCGGAGGCGGAGGCGGAGGCGGAGGCGGAGGCGGAGGCGGAGGCGGCGAGCGAAGAGGACGAAGAGAGGGGAGAAGGCGAGAAAGGAGAGAAAGAGGAGACAGACGAGGCGGCGAAGGAGGCGGCCGAAGAGGACGGCGGCACCGCTAACAACAGCAGCATAGACAACACGACTACGACCAGCAGCACGACGACGACCGCGACCAGCACTTGCGCCACGACTGCGACCAGCAGCAGCACCACCACCACAGCGACCAGAAGCGCCACGACTACAACAAGTAGAACCACAGCCACGAGCACGACCAACAGCTCCACCACCGCGACTGCGACCAGCAGCAACGCGACGGCGACCAACAGCAATCTGGCGAATACGACCTGTACCGCCACCAGCAGCAACGCCACGACGACAACAACCAGCAGCACCACCACCCCGGCTGCCACCACCGCCAGCAGCACCACGACCACGACCAACCGCACCACTACGCCCCAGCGCCACGACGGAGACCAGCAGGTCCACCACCACCAGCAGCACCGCGACGGCAACCAGCGGGAGGACGCGGAGGAGGAGGAGGAGGAGGAGGAGGAGGAGGCGGAGGCGGAGGCGGAGGCGGAGGCGGAGGCGGAGGCGGAGGCGGAGGCGCGAGCGAAGAGGACGAAGAGAGCCCGAGACAGACGAGGCGGCGAGGAGGCGGCCGAAGAGGACGGGGCACCGCTAACAACAGCAGCATAGACAACACGACTACGACCAGCAGCACACGACGACCGCGACCAGCACTTGCGCCACGACTGCGACAGGCAGACAGCGACCAGAAGCGCCACGACTACAAGGAACCACAGCCAAGGACCAACAGCTCCACCACCGCGCTAACGACGGCGGCACTCTAGACAACACGACTGACCAAGTTGAGCCACGACCAGTCGCCACCTACGAAGCAACAGCCACGAGCACGACCAACAGCCACCACGACAGCGACCACGCAACGCGACGGCGACCAACGACCTGGCGAATACGACCTGTATCGCCACCAGCAGCAACACCACGACGACAACAACCAGCAGCACCACCACCCTGACTGCCACCACCGCCAGCAGCACCACGACCACGACCAACCGCACCACTACGCCCCAGCGCCACGACGGAGACCAGCAGGTCCACCACCACCAGCAGCACCGCGCGACGGCGAGGCGGAGGCGGAGGCGCGGAGGACGCGGAGGAGGAGCGAAGAGGACGAAGAGAGAGAGGCGAGAGGAGAGGAGAGAGGAGCGAAGGAGGCGGCCGAAGAGGACGGCGGCACCGCTAACAACAGCAGCATAGACAACACGACTACGACCAGCAGCACGACGACGACCGCGACCAGCACTTGCGCCACGACTGCGACCAGCAGCAGCACCACCACCACAGAGACCAGAAGCGCCACGACTACAACAAGTAGAACCACAGCCACGAGCACGACCAACAGCTCCACCACCGCGACTGCGACCAGCAGCAACGCGACGGCGACCAACAGCAATCTGGCGAATACGACCTGTATCGCCACCAGCAGCAACGCCACGACGACAACAACCAGCAGCACCACCACCCCGGCTGCCACCACCGCCAGCAGCACCACGACCACGACCAACCGCACCACTACGCCCCAGCGCCACGACGGAGACCAGCAGGTCCACCACCACCAGCAGCACCGCGACGGCAACCAGCGGGAGGACGCGGAGGAGGAGGAGGAGGAGGAGGAGGAGGAGGAGGAGGCGGAGGCGGAGGCGGAGGCGGAGGCGGAGGCGGAGGCGGAGGCGGAGGCGGCGAGCGAAGAGGACGAAGAGAGGGGAGAAGGCGAGAAAGGAGAGAAAGAGGAGACAGACGAGGCGGCGAAGGAGGCGGCCGAAGAGGACGGCGGCACCGCTAACAACAGCAGCATAGACAACACGACTACGACCAGCAGCACGACGACGACCGCGACCAGCACTTGCGCCACGACTGCGACCAGCAGCAGCACCACCACCACAGCGACCAGAAGCGCCACGACTACAACAAGTAGAACCACAGCCACGAGCACGACCAACAGCTCCACCACCGCGACTGCGACCAGCAGCAACGCGACGGCGACCAACAGCAATCTGGCGAATACGACCTGTACCGCCACCAGCAGCAACGCCACGACGACAACAACCAGCAGCACCACCACCCCGGCTGCCACCACCGCCAGCAGCACCACGACCACGACCAACCGCACCACTACGCCCCAGCGCCACGACGGAGACCAGCAGGTCCACCACCACCAGCAGCACCGCAGCCAGGGGCCGCGCTCGGCCGCCCGCCGGCTAGAGGGGCGGAAGGGGGCAGCGGCGACGGAGGGAGGCGGCTGGCCCGAGGCCAAGGCCGGCGGCGGCGGGCGGCGCGGCAGAGCCCCGCGCGGCGGGGGCGGGGAGAGGCGGCGCCCTCGGCTCGGCGGAAGCCCGCGCGAGGAAAAGAACAAAAACAAAACAACAACAAAAAACAGCCATTAGCGTCAGGCACTTTGAGAGAGTGGAAGGGGGAGGAGGAGGAGGAGGAGGAGGAGGAGGAGGAGGAGGCTGAAGGAGGAAAAGAACGAGGGGGCGGAAGCGACGCCGCAGGAGCCTGGGCGGCGCAAGAGGGCCAGAAACAGGAGGGCCAGGAGCGCGCCGCAGGAGGCGGAGGGCGGCAGCGCGGAGACCCAGCCGCCATTCGCCTAGGAGGGGCTCGGGGAGGCACGCCAGCGCGGGCCCCGAGTGAGGGTGGGGTTAAAACGCCCGCGACCCTCGGGGCGGCTGGGGGCCGCGCCAGAAGACAGGAGCGGCGCCGAAGGCGCCAAAGAGGAGGGGTGCAGGCCCGTGCCGGCCGGCCAGGCACCCGCCTGAGGCGACGAGCGGGGGCCCGCACGGCGAGGGCCGCGCGCCCGCGCCCGCCGCGGAAAAGAAAAGAAACAAAAACAAAAAAACAAGAAAGCATCCTTGGAGAGCGGGCCTCCAGCACGACGTAACCCAAAACCTCAAAAAGCACCCAATGGCCCA